GGCTGGTGGGCGCTAGGCTGGGCGCGGGGCTGGCGGATCTGCCGGGCGGCGGCGGCAGCGGCAGCGGCAGCGGCAGCGCGGAGCCGGTGGGCGCAGCCGCGCGCCAGGCCGGCGGTCGGGATTTGGGGGAGTCTGCAGTCAGGAGTGAGGAGTTGAGGAAGGAGCTCTCGAGTTTCCGAGGGACATTGGAACACCGAGCTGTCCGTCACACCCTCATCTGCATATTCTGGAGCCCGCCCCTCCCCTGCTCCGCCCGCCGCCGAGGCCCCGCTGAGGCCAGGGGAGGGGTAGAGAGTGGAGGGGTGGGAAGTGGAGAGGAAGGCGGAGGAGTGGCAGCCAGAGGCTGGAGGGAGGGACGTGCAGGCTTTTGTCGCGCAGCCGCCTCTCTCCGCTCCCGCCCCGGCCCGCAGCCTGCAGCGGTGAAGCCCGGCCTGGCCAAACTGGGCGTAGCGCTCACCCCCTCCCACTGGCACGTCCTCTCAGCCACGTCCGCGCACCCTGCCGCCGGCTCCCGCCTCGGCGAAGCCACCTTTCTCCCTCCCGGGGCCCCATCCGGGCACTGCCGGCGCTCTTGCTCGCCTAGCAGTGGTCAGCAAAGGCCTCCTGCAGTTGGGCCAGGTCCGATCCACCCGGGGAGCGTACGGATCGGACACCTCTCGTCACCCTGAAGATAGTGGCTCAGGTCGCAACCCGTGTCCAGTGTAGACACCGCCGGGAGCCGGAGGGCAGTGTACAGACACCTGCAGAGTTGCGGGGCCGTCCCACTTCTACAGTCCTCTGCCCGCCTGTCCTCAAGGCTGAGGCTGCCCGCGCGGCCTCCCGTCCGATCTTCTGCTCCTGGCGCCTGAGCTGCCAAGCGTCCATCTGAGCGTTTGGGTTTGAAGCTGTGGGAGGCCCCGAGGTGAGGCTTCTGTCCAAGTCCACAGAGAAGATTTCAGGCGGTGTTAGGAACATCAAGTCTGTTAACGACTGGAACACGTCAGTGAGTGACTCGCCTCAACAAACGCCACTCTTACCCCCAAAGAGTTTTTGTTTTCTTTTGTTAAGTTGAATGCCTGTTCGAATTTGGGGGAGGTTCCTGCCAGGAGAGCTGACTGACTTTGCTAGAGTATCCACTACCACTTCTCGAAGGGACATGGGCCAGCTGGTGAGGTGGCGCAGTCGTGAGGTGGTTCAGGTAACTTGAGGTCCACGGGTTGACTCGCGGGTCCCTGGGGCCCTTAGGACCCAGACCTTAAACTTTCTCGCCCGCACCTGCTCCCTTTCCGCAAGTGAGGACGGGTCGGTGGCCGGGGAGGGCACTGGTACACTGGATGCGAAGGAGCGTCAATGGGGGGCGCTTGGGACTCTTTGGGGTCAGGTGTGAACTGGCCCGGGAGGGGGCGCCCGCCCAACAGGTGTCTCCTTGAAGCTTGCTAGGTAGAGCATGAGGACGCTTCTGGCTGGGGCGCCGGCCTGAGCTCAGATCTGCAGCCATTTGGTCCTCGGTGGGCTCTGAAGCTAGGAGAGGGCGGCAGAGTTCTTCTGCTTGCGAGCGTCTGGCTTCTTCGTAGGCCTGGGCTGTGATGCTCTAGCTCCTGCAGCAGCCAGATCCGTGACACCCAATGAATGCTGTAGTCAGCCAGGCTGCGTTTTGTCTTGTCCCAGGTCCCAGAGAACCAGGAATCAATTGCAGTGATGGACTGGAGATTAATTTTCCCGGGCCTTTGGCTGGCAGGCAGGCAAGTTTATCACTTTTGTTAGGTACTTTCTGAGCTCTCTACTTAGACACTGCCACCACCATACACCTTCCCCTCACTTTCCCCTGCGGACCTTCTGAGTCTCAGTGCATATGCATAGCCTACTTCCCATCATTCCCCAGCTACTTACTGCCCAGAGTCTACAGTGCAGACCCTGGGTGGGGCATCCTCATTCAAGGTGGGGGGAGGGAGGAAGAGAGGGAGGGAAAAGAAGGGAAGGAAAGGGAAGGGGAGAGGTCACCACCCTACCACCCCAGTACAGGGCAACTGGGTGGAGCCAAATTAGTTTATTTAAACGTTTTTGTTTTCAAGGGAAAGGTTTCTTTTGGGAAAGGGCCCTCGGTGAGATCTCATGTACGGGATAACAAACAAACAACCACAAGTCAGACTGAGGCTCTTAGCTTCCAATTAGATTGGTTTCAGTTTTTTTTTTAATATGAAGTATTTAATTTTTACCTGGGGAATGATTGTTCAGATCTCAATCTTTTCTAAAGATTAGTTTCCTGCCCTGGTTTCAGTTTCAATGGGGTTTGCCCTACCTTTTCCTTCTGACCTATACCAGGTACGGAGGAGAAAGGAGCATATATATATATGTGTGTGTGTATATACATATGTATAGGTATGTATATACACATATGCGTGTCTATGTTTGCACACACACACACACACACACACACACACATCAGTAGAATGGAGCAGGTCCATGTGCCTAAATGCAGCTGATTCAGACATTAATTACATAACCAGACAAATGTGTTTGACTCTGGAGGTTCTCCTCCTGCTCACGGACGTCGAGAAAGTGCAACCCTATTATTGCTCCGTACAACCCATCAAGACCAAGGGCCCTTTATTTCCTCCATGAATTATCTTTCACCAAAATCTAAAATTTCCATACTGCTGTCTGTTACTAATAAAAACAGCCTACCTTGTGCAATTAAACAGTCGAATCTGACGACATGCAGATTTTATTGGTAGTGACTGTGGCAAATTAAAATGCCTATACAGGGACTTTAACTGGTGAGTTCCCATTGTTATTGGGACATTAAAACTCTGGTTTACATGATTGCTTCCAAATTCTTGAAAAGCCTATTTTTCTTCTCTTAGATTAAAGTTGCCTTCATCTAAAAACACACACTCACACACACACACAAACCAAAAAACAAAAACAAATAAAAAACCACCCACCAACAACAACAACAAAAAATCAATGAGAAAAATTTATTTTCCAAGTGTAGAGCCTGGGCAGGCAATCCTCACGGCTACTGGGGTGACAGGGTTACCCCAGTAACTGCTCTTAGTTTCCAGTTTCAAAAGGGGTCTGGATGTTGTGCTTCAGGGTAAGAGGGGAGTTCAGATGTACCAGTCTCTTAGGAATCCTGGTTTTTGTCTCCTCTTTCTCCAGCTACATACATGGAGTGAACAATGTATGGCATGTAGCGAAATCGGACGACTGCTTAGAAAATAGTCTCTTGTGACGGTTACTCAGGCTGTGGGAACTTGCTGTGGACTCATGTATGTAGTGGAGTTAAAAACAAACCATGTTACTGTGGTCCTCACACAAGCAGAGGCAGAAATATTTAGAGTTGGCTCTGGCTAGCGACTCTTTCAAGCTGCCCCCGTTTTTCTTGGAGGCCACTGGCGGGCCAAATATTAAAGCCAGGAATGGAAGATCTTTCTGGGTACGAAACTGGTTTTGAAGGCCCAGGCGCTGGCCTGACACTGTCCTGTCCCATGGTTTTCAGGCGGCGAGGAGGGCTAAAGTCGCGCGACGGGCGGCGAGGGGGCGCTGTGTCCCGTGCCTACCGGCTTAGGCCCAGCTGTGGAAACCTGGCGCTGCCACCGTGCCACCAACGCGTGGCTGACGCCCCGCCAGAGCCATATCTGTCTTTTTCCACACCTGTTTTATTCGGGGGGAAAAAAAAGGATAACAATAATACCAGGGCATTTCAATAAAGCTAGAGCTCTCATGACTATTTTGTTTCAACTCTGGCCTCCGTGGCTTATTTAAGTTTGGGGCCCCAAAATAAGCTTTCACTTTGGTGCGTGCAGATATTTTTTTAACTTAAATAAAATGAAACATTCACTTTTAAGGTGGGTTTACTTTAATGAAGGAAATTTAAAATGTAAGTAAGTTTCAACGTATCAAGACGTATTCTATTCTATTAGCAGCCAGGACTTTCTAGCATGTGCATGTCGTTGCTCATCAAGAGAAAGGAGAGATGAAGTCAAACTTTGGTTCTTTTTCTTTAAGTTTCGTTTTTATTTTGCTTTGTTTTAAAGATTTTCAGTGCACCAATTTTAATTCCACATGCAAAGGAAGTCTCCCTTGGGCTTACAATGTATTGGGTCTGCATCCGTATTTCTAGTTTCTAAAGCCAATGCGCTTTCCTGGAAAGCGCGCAAGCAGGACAGTCCTCCGAAAGTGAGAGGCGCTTTGATTCCCTCATCCTGGAAGAGAAGTCTGGACCCTACTGGGGGTTCTCAAACCCGCCTTTGAGACCTGGCTTTCTTGGCGGCTGCCCCTGCGGAGCCTGGATCTGCTTTCCGTTCTGAGCTGTGGGAGAGGTGTGGTATGTGTTGGGGGGGGCACACTTTTTTTTCCAGTTTCTCTCTTGAGCATCGAGAATTCCACTAACCAGTGCTTTCTCCTTTAACTATCCCAGCTCCCTCGCTCCAGATCATGGTCAGCCCTCAACTAAGCTAACTAGTTTCTCCTGAGTTTCGTTAGTGGTTAGACAA